AACTCACTGAAGGAATTCATCTTGATATTTAAGCCTTTCTAACTCACCCATTCTGTATTATTGGGAATCTGAGACATTTCAGTGTTCTATATGTCAGTATTACAGTGTTCAGACAGAAGCCTATTTTAGGAGCTAGAAGAATCTTTGTGCATTTGTGAAGTCATCTTGGGGAAATTTCCATGTATTCTAATGTTTTAGGTATGTTTTTTTCATGATTTATTTAATACGTTCTTTACATATGAGCAAAATGTAGTTTTGTATAGTAAAACTTTAGTGGTTCTTATATAAACTGGAAGAATACTACATTTCTTAAGTTAAAATGTCTACTTTTCAACTAGACATATTTTCTCATATTTCAATTAGGAATTTATTTCTAATTTTAGTGTTTACTTCACATTTGATGAAAGACTTCACTCTTTTAGTCTGTTAGTTTTTAAAAGGCTATGCATTGTGGCTCTTTGGGAGACTGACCAATTCATCAATACTTCCCTTTCTGTTTTGCCTTTCCTTTGAAAAGACTATTTCACAGTTTCAGCTGAAATTTATGCAGAAAACAGAGAGGCAGTGATTTAGAATAATGTGGCAGTATTTTACTGCTTTAGTTTAAACAACTTAAAAAATTAATAACTTAAATAATTGTAAACAGCCGTGCAGAATCAGAATTAGTTAATAAGTTCTGTTGCCAGTGTTAGAGTTAATATTCAAATTGACCATGATTTTACTTCAGTTTTCCATTTTTTTCTGACAAGAGTTATGTAACCTTTTAAAACAAAACCTGTTATCAATTTAAAGAACAATAAATGCAATGCACAATATTTTTGAGTCTATATATTTCTTTTTACTTAAATAAAAAAGTAGTTTATTGTGCAAAGTTGACCTTTTGTGGGAATATAAATAGAGTAAAATGGATTCTCCTGGGATCTTTAAGGAAGGGAGACCAATACAGAAAGAATGGTTGTGATTTCAAGAGCACATTTTTATGTTACATGTAGTCGAGAGAGAATGAAAGCAGCATTGAAAAATGCTTTCAAATAATTACTGTTGAAATCAAACCTTTCTTTTTTTATTAGATCTTTGAAATAAGAGAATGGTGAGACAGAAATGAAAACTTCAAATGAAAATTTAAATGTGTCAAATTAGTTTTTAAGTATTCTACATTTCTCCTATTATTATATCAGAGTAGATCTATCAAAACATTACTTTGAAACCAAAACAGTTTTGAGCCATAATCTAATAAAATGTGTTGTCTTTTTGTTACCGTGTCATTTTGCGGTGTTTCAAAGGAAATGGAGTATCTTTAGCCTAATCTATAATAGTAAATTATTTTAGAAATTTGGCTTGACATACAAACAGATGTGTTTTCTTGATTCCTTTTAAACTGAGGTTGGTGGTTTGTGGTTTATTGTTCCTGTGATTGGCATTAAAAGCCTTATTTCACAGCTTGCAGTGAGGGACTATTGGGTAAAGAGTGGCTGTGTTCCACAAACTAAATTCAAAAAGTGTCAATCAAGGTCTCACATAGGTTGCCTAGAGAATGAGTTTTCTTACTGATTTCACCAAATGTCGCCTCATGCTGTCTTTGATTGGCACAGCCTGGCAGGGAGGATGGATGAATCTGTCACCGACTGGTTAATTGTGTTGCTGGTCTCAGTCTGACATCAGGTCTTTGACTCTTAAGTGGCTCAATACAAAACAAATTAGCAGATTGTAGTCATATTTCTCATTCTATATGCTTTGACTTTGTTGAATGCAGTCCATAAATCATATTGACTGACACACAAGTAAATGATGAAAGCTGCTTTTGAGACATGGATCTAGAAAGCAGCGCTGTGAAGGTGCCATGGAAGGATGCATATGGTTGACCCTTTGGGAATTTCCTAGGAGCCAAATGTCTCCTTACCACAATTGTTCTTAGAAGAAAAGCTTTTGGGTAATGCAAAAAGGATCTAATATGTCAGCAGATTCTCTTTTACAAGTTCCTTTGAAATATAAGAAGTTTGTCTAAGGGTTTTCTCTCTTTGCAAGTTGTTTTTCAGCAAAATGTTAGAGGAGGGTAAAAAAGTAGTTACCTTTAAAAGTTTGGCAGGTGTTTTTACTTACTTGTTGAACTTTGTGTTAAAGAGAAAGAAAATGTTAATAGTAGTTGCAATTTTTCAGATGAGGGCAGCAGAAATTTCTAGGTGCTTGAAATTTATTATTTTGGTTTTGTTTGTTAAAAAACAGAGCATCTCTAATGAAACAGGCTAGTTTTTAAAGATCGTTCATTGCAAAAGTACTTAGATTAATTTTGTTCTAGAAAATGATAATATTATAAGAATGTCAATAATAAAAACAATAGTAATGTTCAGAAAGGGGTGTTTTGTTTATGCCAAATGTACAAGGGCTACATCAGAAATGAATTGCCATAGGTATTTTTTGGGTGTGTAAATATTTGGAACATTAAACATTTTCTCTCTAAATATAAGTAATAGATGGAAATTTATGAATATTTGTGCACATTTTATGGTTAGGAATTAAACATTTTTTTTTAATGTATAATCTTATAGAACTTTTAAAATACTTACAGAATCCAAACCTTTTATATTAACTTTAATTTGGGGCTGTAAAAAGAACTTACTTCATTTGAAGATTGATAAAATATTTTACAAATACTTTAATCTTGTATCTTTGAGAACAATAAGCCTGTATTTAATATGTTTAATCAGAAGAAATTTAGTATTAGGGTTTTATTATTATGTATGTTGTTTAAACAAAAAGTTAAATTAGCACGCACGTGCACGTGTGTGTGTGTGTGTGTGTGTGTGTGTGTGTGTGTGTGTGTTTTCGTTACCTATTTCCACTAAGTTTATGGAATAGCTGCCTGTATTTCTGTACTCTTACCATCATTTTTGGCTCCAGTACTATTGTTATATAGTCATTTGTACCGTCAGAACCCATGTTGAATTTTAAGTATCACTTTAAAATTATACCACTTACCTTGTACAGTGTGTTTACTTATGAAATGAATATAATAGTAATTTAGGGGGGCAATTTATTAATCTGTTTTGCAGTTAGTATATTATAGAGGCAACATAAGTAGAACATGGAGCTGATTGGATGGAGAAGTACATGAAACTAAAATGCAGTAGTTGTTCCATTGGGTCAGAATTACATTCCTGTTAAGTATTGTCAAGCCTGTTACATTATAATTAAATTACATGCCATTGATTTCTCCTCTTTCTACGTTTTTGTCCCCCTCCCATTCATATTGATATTATGGTGCTTGGGGAATGGAGCTGCATGTCTCCCAGACTAATTCCTCTTGGGTTTGGGGGATCTTGAAGCATGCTGGGTTTTGCATTGTTTGTTACATTCCTTTTTGGCAGTTCATCAGTATCTGTCAAATATATTGTTTGCATTGGCTTTTATCTCTACGTTTTTGATTGAGAAATTGAGATTCCATTTTAGATACAGTTTTTCACTGCATAGTGTCTAGATGCTAAAGACTTACTCAAAAAGATTGCCGTGTTTCTAGCCTGACTTTAAATGTGTAGTTTAATGAACAAATGTTCTAATAAATATCTTAAAAATATATTTATGTTCTTTCTTACTTCCCTGACAGATCAACTGTGTAAAACATTTCTGTACTAATTTAGTGAAGCATTTATGTTCAGGAGATTTTTTCATGACTTGATTAGCCTTTGTGAAAGTAGGAAAAGAATAATTATCAAATAGCACTGAGTAAATATTTATTAATGCAGATGAGGCAAAACATGGCACATTTTCCAAAAGTCATTATTTCTGACCATATTCATGGATCTTTGAATCCTATCACAGGAGTTAGTCCATCACCAAATCACATCGTTGTAGGTTGAAGACAGAAATACTAGGAGCAGTATTAGACAGGAAAACTATACAGGACAGAGTCTTTATAGTAATTTATTTTAAGCTTTTAATTGAAATCTGTCTAAAGAAGCAATTTATACCAAAAGTGATGTAATGTGATTCAGCTTTGTAATCTAGAGATGAAACATGTAGCCTTAATTAAGGCCATCAGGGAAAATTTCTGTAGTTTTTAGGAGCTATTATGGTAGAAAATATTTTATAATGATACAAATGTGAAACAAAACCACAAATATTTGTAGTTTACTTAACCATATATTTCTAAATTATCAGATGATTTTAAAACTAAATTTAGGTCTGTAGATGATTTTGAAGTCATGTTGGTAGGTAAGCCCCCTGAGCTAATTGAAGCTATGCTACAAATTCATGTTCTGATTAGAAGTAAGGACTTAAGATTGAAAGTATATTTTGAATTTTAGGCACAGTTTAAATAGGAAATTATATTGTTTATTAACTAACTTTATTCTGGCTTTAATTATATGAAGGAAAGCTTTAAAAGCATTATATGAATAAAATGTTCTGTCAGTACAATAACTTGTCATATTTTAATGTGTATTTTTAAAAATACTTGAGACATTTCAAGAGGTCTAAAATAATAATTCATGGGGCGCCTGGGTGGCGCAGTCGGTTAAGCGTCCGACTTCAGCCAGGTCACGATCTCGCGGTCCGTGAGTTCGAGCCCCGCATCAGGCTCTGGGCTGATGGCTCGGAGCCTGGAACCTGTTTCCGATTCTGTGTCTCCCTCTCTCTCTGCCCCTCCCCCGTTCATGCTCTGTCTCTCTCTGTCCCAAAAAAATAAATAAACATTGAAAAAAAATTTTTTTTTAAATAATAATTCATGTGTTTTTTACCTGTCTTTTAATTTTCCTGAGTGCAGTTAGAACTTCAATGATATTTATGTCCTGAGGAGGACAAGTAAACAAGATTAATTTTAATTCCTGTGCTAAAAGCATAGCCACTCAGAATACAGAAATAGAAAGGCCAATAATCACTGTTGTACCCCCTAAAAGACAACAAAAAGAATGTCAGGTATATAATTTTTCTGATACTTTATGGTGTATTTCTGTGTTTACTTATTTGCTTATTTATGTTTTGTTTTTGGTATTTGTTTTAAACAGGGGAAAGTTGCCCAGACTGCTTGCATGTCAGCCTGCCAGCATCTGTCAACATCCTTAATGCAGATGCTATTGGACAGTGAGTTAAAACAGATAAGCATGGGAGCCGTTCAGCAGTTTAACTTAGATGTCATACAGTGTGAATGTAAGTACCTTACTGGTTAAATCTCATGCATTTCTAGGAATCTATATTTAAATTATATGAAAAAAAATGGTATATAGAAGGATAGTTCAGAAAAGAGGGAAAAGGCCTGGATCAGTGAGATTTTCAGCAGCCTTAGAAGTGACTTCTTTCCAGAAAGAGAAAAATACCTCAGCTTCAGTTTAGGGCCTCTAGAGCTCTATCTGGAAAGCACTGAAGTGGCAGTACAGACTGGGATAATTGAAAAATGATTCATTTTCCTCCTCAGTCCTTTTTCTGGTCATTCTTGCCAGGACACTCCTAACATTGGTCATAAATGAATGAAATCATTCTAAGTTTGTCATTCTTACTTTATCGGTAGGCAGTTTTTGTTTTTGTTTTTGTTTTAAGTTTATTTATTTTGAGAAAGAGAGAAAGCACGAATTGGGGAGGGACAGAGAGAGGGGAAGAGAGAATCCCAAGCAAGCTCCAACCCAGGAACCATGAGATCACGACCTTAGCCAAAGTCAGATGCTTAACGGACTGAGCCACCTGGGCACCCTGGTAGGTAGCTTTTTAGGTAATTGCTGGAAAGATAATCTTAGGACCCCACATTCCAAATGAAGCTTCTTTTATATTCTGAATATTCGGTTCTCATTTCCCCCCCAATTTTTTAAGCTTTTACCTTTGCCATTGTTTTTCACTGTTTTCTGTAGGCAAGAGGTGAGCAGATTATATAATCTAATGTTGACATTAGCCAGTCTGCTTCAAAACGAGATGTGCTGTTTGGTTATTAGCCTTGTTTATATATGCTTCTGGATGTGTGTTCTATCACCTTAAATTATAACCTTAAATAAAGAATGTAAGTATACAGAGCAATTTTCAAACATTGCTTTCAAATGAATGGTACACTGATTAAATAATGAAAGTCTCTGGTTGACAATTCAGCCAGGCACCACTGTTGATAAATTGGAAATCAGTGGGGCACAAGAAGGATTATAAAATATTTGTCTGAGGCAAATTTTGCAATAATTTGCTGATGTTGATCAGCAGTTTGCAGCTGAAGCAAGAGCAATTTTTTTCAACAGTTATTGAATATTTGCCCACTGTATAAGGCATTCTGCTAAGAAAAACATAATTAATATTAAAAAGAATAATCATGTAAGCTGTTTGATCAAGATCAGCACAAAAAAATAAGTCCAAAGTTTTTTTTAAAACGTACCTATTCCCTTCAAAAAAAAAAAGAGAGATGGTTATTCACAAAGGAAAAGGAAATTAGTTTTTCCTTAGGGAAGAGAAGCATTCATTTTCTTTTCCTAAAAAGCATTTCTATTTTCTCTAGTTAGAAAACCTTAATTATATATCTTTCTCAAAATAAAACTATCATTTTAAAAATGGTATTTAGGGATCTCTGGGTGGCTCAGTTGGTTAAGCATCTGACTATTTCGGCTCAGGTCATGATCTCACAGTTTGTGAGTTCTAGACCTACTTTGGGCTCCATGCTCACAGCACACAGCCAGCTTAGGATTCTCTGTCTCCCTCTCTCTGCCCCTCCCCTGCTCCCTCCCTCCCTCCTCTCTCTCTCAAAAGTAAGTATATAAACATTTAAAACAATAAAAAATATGTATATTTTTATATTGTATTTTAAAAATATTTATTAAAAAACACTTTTTCCCCCAAGTTTCTAAGCTCAAAGTAATTGTTATTCCATTTTACAAGTAGTTTGAAACTGATTTTTTTTTTAAAGTTCTGTAAAAGTTATCTTAGGTTATCATTCCAGTATGACATTACATATGTAAATATCTTACATAAATATTGCTTTACGCATTTTGTGTTATTAGATCTTGAATGTGGATTCAGAATAATTGGGTGGTTCAACCCTTTATTGGCATTTGGTTATGTCTTCTGAGGTTTTTTGTTCAGAAATGGAAATTACTGTTTGGCTAGGCATCTTTAGGTATCTAGATCTTGTGTTCTCTTCCCTCTTCATAAAAGGCTAGCCTGGCTCTACTTACCGAAAGGCACATAAACCCCCAAATCTGTGCCTCTCTGCTTTCTATAGGATAGTTTCTACCTTCAGTTAACTTCTTATGTTGATATCTTCTTCTTCTTTTTTATTTTTTTTAATGTTTTTTATTTTTGAGAGAGAGACAGACAGAGCGCAAGCAGGGGAGAGGCAGAGAGAGAGGGAGATACAGAATCCGAAACAGGCTCCAGGCTCTGAGCTGTAAGCACAGAGCCCAGCACGGGGCTCGAACACAAACCTCGAAATCATGATCTGACCCAAAGTCAGACATTCACCTGAGCTGAGCCACCCAGGCGCCTCTGTTGATATTTTCTTAAAGCACTGTTCTCTTGGAAGAGACCAAGAAGAATCCTAAGTATGAGGTATAACTCAGGAAATCTGAGTTCAAATACAAGAAGGGTAACCCCCAGCCTGATGGGGGCCAAGGTTCAGACTCTATAGATACGAAAAGTGAGAGACCAGAATTCAAAGACAAACCACCCAAGATAATTCAGCTTTCTTTAAGATTATGCCTATGGTTGGCACTGCTCCTTAATACTTATCATGTATTACTTAATCATTATTTAATACAGTATCATACATTTAGTACTCACGGAACAAATATAAACCAACATTACATTTTCCATGTTTATTCCACTCTCTTTCTGGCGTAAAAGACTTTCTGTACCCCCTATCATGACTTTTAGTGACTGATTCACAAATCACTTAAAAATGAAACAGCTTTTTTTCTAATGAATATATTAAGAGAATTAAGTTTTCATTTCATTTTCTTTTTCTTTTTTTTTTTAATTTTTTTTTTTTAACGTTTATTTTTGAGACAGAGAGAGACAGAGCATGAATGGGGAGGTCCAGAGAGAGAGGAACCTACAGGAAGTCTAAACAGTCCAGGCTCTGAGCTGTCAGCACTTTGGAAGCCCAGCGATGAGTAACTCGGTGCCGCGAGATCATGACCTGAGCTGAAGGGTAAGCACACCAACTGGAACCCTCAGAAGCCCCAAGTTTTCATTTCATTTTAAGTAGTAGTTTTGTGGTTTTTGTTTTTAAATTTTTTTTTCAACGTTTTTTATTTATTTTTGGGACAGAGAGAGGCAGAGCATGAACAGGGGAGGGAGCAGAGAAGGGACGAATCGGGAGCAGGCTCAGGCTCAGCCATCAGCCAGAGACCTGATCAGGGGCCTGCCGCAGGACCGAGTTGTGACCTGGCGTCGGACATGTGAGCTAAAACCACCAAGCCCCAGTTTTGTGTTTTTAAACCTGGAAGAAAGCAGTATTTTCCTTTTCTTGTTTTTCTTTTCTTTTTTTTTAATTTAAGATTTTATTTTTGAGTAATGTCTACACCCAGCGTAGGGCACAAACCCACAACCTGGAGACCGAGAGTCGCATGCTGTACCGACTGAGCCAGCCAGGCACTCCAGAAAGCAGTTTTTTTAAATACACAGTTTAGGGGTACCTGAGTGGCTCAGTCAGTTCAGCGTTCCATTCTTGATTTGACTCAGGTCATGATCTCATGGTTCATTAAACTGAGCCTGCATCAGGCTCTGTGCTGACAGGGCCAAGCTTGCTTCAGATTCTGTCTCTCCCTCTCTGTCTCTGCCCCTCCCTGCTCATGCTCTCTCTCTCTCTCTCTCAAAATAAACAGTTTAAAAAAGATAAGATAAAAGGTTTGTTTTCAGTATGAATGCAGTGTGTATGCTTTCTACATACTGGGGCAGGCAGAGGGGGAGAGGGATTTGGCTAGATAGGAGGAAGGCTAGAATGCATCATAGATTTGTGAAGAGAAGGGATCTGGATACCATAGGAATCAATTGGGGTATGGATCAGAAAGAAGATAGACATATAGTTCAAATGTAGAATCCTAAAAGCCTAAAAAGATCATGGAGAAAAGATCATGGAATCCTAAAAGATCATGGAGTTTCACCACTCGGTAATAAAGATACACGTACTCCTAAAAAATCCTCTCTAAATAACCCTGCCAAGAAGTTGTCCAGCTAGTCCTTGAACATCCAGTTTGGGGGATTAACTACTCTTCAGAAAATGTGTTTCCGTATAATACATCACTCTATCAGTTTCTTAAAGTGAAGTGAAATCCCTTTCTCTCAACTTCTCTTAATGGAGCTAGTTCTACCTTGGCTACTGTCACCACTGCCTTTGTGCAAATTAGAAGTGGGATCCCTACTATAAGGATAAGGTCCTCTAGAGTTGTCCCTTTTATATGAACTAGAAAAAGTTCACCCCTTTCCCAGCTGGACTCAACCCCCACCAAGGCACATGGTTTATCAAGTGAAATGTGAGCCCTTCCCTTCCTCCCCTCTCCTCTCCTCAGCTGGACACCCGTATGTAGTAAGCAGTCCGATACAGTCTGTATGTGGCAGTTCTGCCTAGGGTCATACAGAGAAAAAACAAATCCTCAGCCACAAGACCATTATATGAAAACTGCTCTTCCATCCTTCTAAATCTTCTGAAGGCCAGACATCAACAATTTCTCTTACTGTTCTCATGTAATGCCATTTTAGATCCAAACATCTTCTTTGAACAAACTGGTTTGACTACCTTCTGTTTAATGTCTGGTACCCAAAGTTGACTACAGAGATACCCAGTTGTGGGAGAACCAGTATAATCTGCAGTTGGACTATCAAATACATTGTGCCATAATCTGTACTTTATTAATAAAACCTAAACTACGATTACCTATTTTGGTTGCCAGAGTATACTCTTTTATTGTTGAAGCTGTAGTCTTCTAAAACCTCTGTATCGTTCTCTTCCTCTCTTTATATGCGTGTGTGTGTGTGTGTGTGTGTGTGTGTGTGTGCTTGAGAGAGGGGGGGAGAGAGATTATTATTTTTTCAATGTATGAAATTTATTGTCAAATTGGTTTCCATACAACACCCAGTGCTCATCCCAAAAGGTGCCCTCCTCAATACCCATCACCCACCCTCCCCTCCCTCCCACCCCCCATCAACCCTTAGCTTGTTCTCAGTTTTTAAGAGTCTCTTATGCT